ATTCCCCCCCCCATAAAAGCATGTAAAAACATTTAAAAGGTTAATTCAGGTGTATGAACTCACCTGTTGTAAGTGGATCGAACGAAGGTGCCGATTGGGTGCTCGGTGTCTAGTAAAGACTTAAACACACTTAGTGACCTATTAACATATGATGACATATGTTTATATACAATTAGTAAATATAATACTAATTAAACACGTATACGCATCCTAAAGTGCAGAAAACACTTTGATTAAGTGTTAGGGGTGTCCCGGGTAACATCTATGGGTATGTATGGCCTAGATAAGGAGTTTACTCTTCAAGAGTGAACTCTTTATAGAGTTCACGGCCCTAAGACCAACTCCCCATGAGTTTACGGTCGTAAACTCATGGTGGGGGTGTTATAGGATGCTAAATGGTCTTATTTCACTCATAGAATTAGGCTAGGTCCAAATATAAGGCATGGGAATGGGTTTAAGGCAACAAATGGACCATTTGGGGAGTTTACAGCCCTAAACAAGGATTTTACGGCCGTAAACTCTTATATGTTCATTCCTTTGGTGTATTAAGGCCTTAATTGGTAGAGAATAAAGTTCTATGCATTTTTCCAAGTCAAATGAAGAAGTTAGGGCACCATTTGGGCACTTTTTGGGAGTTTACGTCCCATGGACCAGTTCTAGGGGGGTTCACGGCCGTAAACTCCTATTTCCTTGGTTTAATTATTGTTTAATGCCTTTACTTCAATGGTGGTTGCTTTTAGACATTTTCCAAGGCCATAGGAGGTGTTTGAGGGCATTTCTAACACTTGAATTTGAGTTTACTCCCCATGAAGAGGAGTTTACCGCCCAAGCATGTTCTTGGGCAGTAAACTCAAGTTTACTCCCCAAAAGTTAAGTTCAAGGTGTTCTAAGTCCGTTACCTTAAGTCATTTAGCCATATCTAAGCCTTAGGGGTAGTTTGGAGGGGTTTTAGGGCTTAAAAACCCCACTTAAGGGTTTTCACGGTCCAAGAGTGTTCTTGGGCCGTAAACACATACCTATTTGATGTCTTAAACACGAATTTGCATGTTAACTAAGCTATACAACAAGTTAGGATAGATTTCTTACTAGTTTGGGGCTCGAAACGGACGTTTTTGGCTCGAAAACAAGTTGTAGAGAGAGAGTGTAGAAAGAGGGTGAAAAGAGTGTAAATGAAGTTTACTCTCCCTTATATAGGTGCTTGAGTTTGGGCTCAATGGAAATCTACCCGATACTGCCGCTAAACGGGGCTTTTGGTCGCACCCGATTAAGTGGTCGTATTTCGACTTGGTTGAAACTAGAATTTTCAAGGGATTAATGAGGGTGTTTCTAATTTGTTTTCAACCCTTACCAAGTCATTATAAAAGTCCTACATTAATTAACCTCTTCCAAAAAGGCTAACAGACAGTTTAATAAAACAAGGCATATTAACGAAAGGAGTGGTTAAATATGACAGATTAAATTTCGGGTTGTCACAAGGGTGTTGCTATACGCACTCTCTTACTCACATAAATCGACATATAGACACTACTACACTAACAAAATAAGATATACAAAACAATCGTTATATTATATTTGGCCTATGATCAACAACTTGGTTGTAGTTATATTATATTTGGCCTATGATGGCATTGCTTTAATATGCTACCCACCAATCTTGACCTATATGTGCTTAAGCTTTGATTAGAGGTGCAAATATATCGAATTTAAAATCGATATAATAAGTTTATATATTTATTTACTTATTTAAATTAAGCAAACCGCTTTTGGCCTCTTGGGTGAAACCGAATTGTATCGATATTGGTATTGAGGCTAAAATGTCTAATTCTATGTAAATGGTCATCAAAATAGATTGGAAAGGACACTGGTTTAAAAAATCTATAGATACACAAATTTTTATTGTATTTTGCCATTGATTCCAATCTTCGAATTTAACAATATTTTCATGGTTGATCAGAAAAAAAAAAACCTAATAAATAAAACGTTTTACCATTGATATGATATGTTTTTTCGGCTATTTGAGATCATGCATGGAGTCAAAACGATATTTTTATACGTTTCATATTTCTTGACCATCATGGGGATCATTTAAGTGGTCAAAATCTTTCAGAAAAACCCCAAAATTTTTGTCTCGACAACAAATGTGAAGAAGTGATGGATCATAATGATAGTTTTTTTTTCTACTAAAACTAACAATCAAATTGAACCGGTTTCTTATCAAACCAAATAAAAACCCCATTCTTTAAAATTTTCAACATACAATGTTAAATCCTAGTTCAGTTATATCCAATCCAACAAATGTATGCTTGCCGATTCCTATATATGATTGTAGTAGTTCTCGAGCCCAAAATCCAAGATTTTATTATTGAACCTCCCATAACCGATTAAGTCCATAATTGAACATTGTTAAGAAAATCAGGACCTTCTGTAAACAACAATTTACATACTTTTCAACTTATTTTAAAAATGTTATAATGGACCTTTTAATCGGGGTGAACAACTATATTTGGAAGTTATTGCATAGTCTATATATAGTCTATAGGCCTCTTAAAGCTTATTGGGCTCAATATGAAACATTTCGAACCTTAATTGGGCGCTTATTGGGTTTACAGTATCTTTTCACAAAGCCACGTTTCTGTTCTGAATCCGCCTTCCCCCCTCCGCCCTCCCCCATTGATTACATTCAGCACACAGTCATAAGCTCTTGGTGAAGCGAAGAAGCGGCGTTCCTTGTAAGAGCACGAAGGATTAGCTTCTCAGGTTAGGTTTTATACTTCTGTTCGGGCTTTTTTCTTTCGTTTCCTGTTCCGTGTTTAATTCATCGAATTTTTATTTTTCGATTCGACCTAAACACTTTTGCAGCTGTAATTATGGCGATTGTAATGCTGTCGGTTAAAATTTGAGATTTTACGGGTTAAATTGGTTGAAACTAATGAATTTTTCGCACTTTTAGAGAGTAACATGAAGAATCGCCACGATGATATGCCTACTTCGAGCAAGATCAAATTCAAAGACAGCGATGAAGAAGAAGAAGAAGAAGAAGAAGAAGAAGAATCTGCTTCCGAAGATGTGAGTTTCAATATACACATTTATATGCTGAATTTCTAATGCTCGCTCGGATTTATGTTTATCGCGTTCTTTCCCGCAAGAAGAGGGACATACACATAGTTGATTTTCCATGGAAAATTTGATATAGAACTCTTATTTCTGGAGATTTTTGATAATTTACTGAACCTTACGATAAACATCACAAAGAGGAAGGTATTAGGTTCAAAATTAAGTAAAGAATGTATCATCAGGAGTGCTAATCCACCGTCACTCCTCTGTTCACCAATCACTACATAGTTATGTATATGGTGGCATTACTGTTATGATGCTGTTATGGTTGCTTACCACATATATTATGTATCCAATTATCCATGTTGAACCAATCTCTTGTAAATGGTGGTATGTGTTATATACTCAAGTAAAACATGTAATGAATTTTCAATTAGGATGGGGAGACAGAGATACATGAGGTGCTTGCAAATGTTACATTTGAAGAGTTGCAGAAGGCACGTTCAGATGGGTCACATGTAGTCAATCAGAAGCCTAAATTAGAGAGAAAGGGTAAAAGAGAGAACAAAAATAGGTATATGATCTATGCAACTTACTATTTTCATTCATGTTGTTACTTCACAGAGTTGTAAATGATTAAGTATGATCTATTTCTGTCTTTTAAGGCCAATGGAGATCAGTAGCAAAAAACCAGTTGGTAGATTTAGAGAAGTCATTCAGGCTCCTAAAAAGGTTAGCAAACATCTTGATTATTATCCTCTCTAGCCTTATCAAAGAATTCAAAATTTTATGATAATCATGAGGTTTAACTTTTTCTTGTTTTCCCTATCTTCTATAATCAGATTGTTCGTGACCCTCGTTTTGAATCATTATGTGGAACACTTGATGTAGATGGGTAATTTCTCCTTTCTACCCTCATTTCCTTGACTTTCTTTTATTAAGTCATTTTTTTTTCTTCTGTTACCATTAAGTTCATTATGTTTTGTTCAATAAATTGTATCATGGTTTAGATTGTTACATGATATTCATGCCCTTTTAATGTTCAATAACCTCCAAGATTATATCTTTTTTAAACTTCTTTGATCAACAGTAATAAAAATAATATAATCACTTATATTTTTTCTAAATCTTACAGATTCAAGAAAAGATATAACTTTCTATACGAGAGTGAGCTCCCTAAAGAGAAAGAGGTAGCTTTAAGAAATTCATAACCATGTATACCCTAATACTCGATACTATTATTTAATTTACAACTTTTTGATGATTATTATTTCATGATCTTGATAGCAATTAAAAAAGCAAATGAAGAAAACAAAGGATCCAGAAGTTATTAGCGGGTTGAAGGAACGTTTAGCATGGATTGTAAGTGGTTTTTCACTAAGTTAAAACTGATCAATTCATTTTTAAGATATAATTTTTTTTAATTCTTTTTTGTAAATTTTAGGACAAACAATTGAAATCAGCATCCACAAAACATACGGATAAAGAGATTCTTGTTAAGCATAAGAAGAAGGAAAGAGAAGCTGCAAAACAAGGGAAACAGCCTTATTATTTGAAGAAATGTAATCTCTCTCTTTCTCTTGACTTTCTTCATTAAGTCATTCTTTTAGCTTACCTTATTAAGTCATGTCACCATATGTTAATATAGCAAAATAAAAAAAAAGGGGTTAAAAAGTTTTCTTGATTTGTTTTTTTTTTTTTTTCTTGCAGCTGAAATCCGTAAACAAGAACTTGTTGAAAAATTCAAGGAGCTCAAGGTACAAGTACAATGTTTTATTTTTTGTATTTTTTAAAATTATAATGCTGACATGGCATGTTATTCACAAGGCATCGGGCAAGCTTGCATCATTTATTGAGAAAAAGAGAAGGAAAAATGCTGCAAAAGACCATAGGTTTATGCCATATCGAAGACCCAATGAAGGGGAAGAGTAAATTTGAAAACATGAATTTATATTTTGTGTTATTTTTGTAATTGAATTATTGTAAGATTGGTGCCAATTGTTCTAGAAACTTTAGTTTGGCCTTGTTGTTTTATTATATTAGAAGCCAAAAGGTACGTGGAAAACTTGTCTTTGACATTTGATGATTAACTACTTTACTAGGTTCATTTGAATCTTGAAAGAGATTTTGGCTTTTGAGGATTTGAATGGATGTTTTATGTGAGGGGTTTTATGGTCATCTTCATTGAACTAACATATTGAATTTCAACGATTGGTTCAATATGTTAAGGAGAACAAAAAAGTACGATCGGATTTTAGTGAAAAAAACAAAATAGGAATGATATTGTTTTTGAATTGTCTCGAATTGCTAAAATGGTTATCAAATACGAAGGGTCCATCTAATTAGATCCTTTATTAGTCTTAAAGGATCCTTCTAATCATTACCTTACCTTTTTTTTTCTTAAATAAACAAATCATTATATTAATCATTACCTTTTAATAATCATCATTACATAATAATTTTATGTCTTTTATGTATAATTATTAAGTCAAAGTATTTTAATAATCTTTTTTAAACTTGCAAAATAAAATATGTTAAATATAATTTTTTTTTATATATTTTTTTAAACTTGCAAAATATAATAGTTAAATATAATTTTTTATATTTTTTTTAAACTTGCAAAATAAAATAGGTAAAATATAATTTTTTATATATTTTTTAGGTTATTAAACTTGCAAAATAAAATAGGCTAAATATAATTTTTTTTATATATTTTTTAGGTTATTTGTATGTAATTTATTAAAATTGTTTTATTTAAAAATATTATAACAAAAGACTACAAATATGACATACTAATAATAAAACAAAATTTTGAAAGCAATACATATCAAAAGAGTTCAATTACATTCATACTTAATCCGTGATATGTATCCAAGGTATTTCAGAACTACGAGGCCTATGTTGATTGTATAATTCGAAACGCGACCAATACATAGTTTGCCAGAAAGATGCAGACGAGCTTTTATGAGCATTCCAATATGTTGTGGTTGGAGGCATTGGGTAATTTCCTTTTAAAGACACCGAAATATAATGTCTGCCTACAAGTACCACTGTAATGTTTCGGTGAGATTGAAACTCTTCAGGACCTCTCCAAAGAGGGAAGCAGGTTGTAGATTGTTCATGGCTTAGACAATGAACAATCACACCAAACTTGTTGGCAATCAAGTAACCAGTCAAAGGCATAATCATCCAATGTCGCAAATATGCAGGTGACTCGAACCAACACAAAGACTCGTATACCTCATTGAACCCATCAGTAAAAACTTGTTGGTATGCATAAAATTGACTTTCTAACTCTTCAAGCAATTGTTGCCTAATGTATAGCCATTGGTCTTCACTGTGCCCTAGACTAACAGCTACCGCTCGAAACCCACAGTTTCCATCACCGAGTACATCTTGTATCTTGTCGATGTAATCATGAAATACATCAGGAATACTCTTCATTAGGAATGGATCATGCATTCGTGGTTCTTCATTTAAGTCAATGGCGTACGAATAATTATGCCTTTCAGGTTCTTTATTTAAATCCAACCCAATGAACTCTGATGTGGTAGAGTCATTGCATCTAGGAGGAGCTTGATTTGGAGGGTTGACATTCTTTTTATGTTGTTTCTTCATACTCGGCCGTCCGCGGGTCTTATTTTGAACTGTAGGTTCTCCAACATCAATTGTGCGCATCGTATATCTCTTTTAGTTTTTTCAAATAAAATTTTTTTCCTGCTTCTGTCTGCTTGTTGAAATTTTCTTTATACTTTTCAACTTCATCGTCGCAACAAATATTGCCTTTTTTTTCAGGCTTCGTATCAAAAATACTAAGCTTTCTCCAAAAGATATCTATTAAATCCAAGGGTATTTCTTCACCTGTATTAAAATACAAAATAAATATTTTTGTAATATTTAAAAATTTATATATGTTGTAATTGAACATACTAACCTGAGCTTAAGTAAACAGAAAGCATGCAAGCACATGGTAACCCACAACTGGTACGGACTTTGCAACCACAATTTGAGGAGTCTAACTTTGACACATTTAACCTTTGGAGCTCTCCTACTATTATATCAAGAGCTTCGTTTGAAACAGAACCTCTTAGTAACCCGAAGCAGTACAAATTATGATGCTTATATCGGAAAATTAAGCTTTTCTCAAAGCTTTCATTGATTGAAGTGAGTTGTGATTGCACAATTTCATTAATTCGTTGCACAAATCTATCGAGATTAGAACTTGCAGAGTCCAAAAATCTCTTTAAATTGGCATGTGCACTCTCGACTCTATTGGTTGTGTTGTTTCCAAAATTAAGATGTTGATCAATCCAAACAGATACAAACATTTCTTTGTAGTTGTTCAACCAAGTATCTTCTATGTATTTCAAAACACCTGAATGTTGTGATTTAGAAGTATAGTTAACAAATACGTAAATAAATAATCATATGAAGGTTATGATTTAGAAATATCGCTAAAAAACAAGCTTACGTGGATATTTTATCAACATTGATTGAAGTCGCATGTAGTTTTTCGTGTAATCCATCAATGTTGGAGAATCAATTAGTAAGTTCCATAATGATCTAAAAGAGCGTCGATCATCTTCCAACGTGATACTTTTATTGCAATGCTTCAAAATGTTTTGTTCAATATGCCATCTACAAAGTAATCGGGCAGCATCCGGAAAAATTGTTTCACATGCCTTGATGAGTGCCAACTCTCTGTCTGTGATTATTACACGTGGGTGCATACATGTATCAAGCGTCGAATTTAGACAATTTAACACCCAAGTATAGTTGGCCTCCTTTTCCCTATGTATAAAGGCAAAGCCTACAGAGAATGTCTTTTGAGTTGATGTAACACCAACAATTTGCACCAACGGCTTGTTATATTTGTTGGTTTTATACGTGGCATCTATTATCAACACATGTGGAAATGCACGCCATATCTTCCAAGACGTTGGATGAACGAAGAATAAATTTTCTAACTCATTTGAATCGCCTGTAGTAAACTCATAAACATAATCATTGGTGTGTAAAAGGGACATAAGAACCTGCATTGGAGTTCTTCCTGCTTGCTCGTGCATCCGAATCTTTTGTTGTGCATTGTATATTGTTTTAATTGTCGACACATTGTTTTCGTTTTGAACCTTCAATGCTGATAGGATGTCACGTGGCGCCACGTTCTTTCTTGTTAAATTAGCCACCAAACGAGTCTCATCGACTGATAACCGTCTTGCAAATGGATGACCTTCCATATGTTGTGCCGATGGATGATTATGTTCATCACATATTACTCTTAGCGTCCATTTATCATGTTCTTTTGAATACTTTCCTTCCAACTGAAATTGACAATTAGTCCTTTTGCTTCCAGATGCTCTTGTATACTCTTTAGGTTTATACTCTCTGCCACGATCACATATAAGTATAACTGTATGCACGTAGCCGTTCCCATATGCCTTTGATCTTCTAGTAACAATGACATATCCTAAAGAACGTGCGGTGTTTTGTGTCCACTCCAATAATTCCTCACGAGACTTAAACTTCTGCAATCAAATTTCAAGTGATTTAGCATATATGTTGTATTTGAAAGCATAATAATTGATATAATTATATAACCTGATTGGTAGAAAATGCTGAAGTTTTTGTAGAAAAATCTTTATCTCTAGCCGACAAGTTGATTCCAAAAAACTTAAACATCTCTAAATAAAAAAAATAAAAAAAAAAAAAAAAAAGATAAATAATTAGAATATTGCACAAATATAAAAATGAGAAATACATAAAAATAAATATTTTATAAAATTTTAATACTAAAAAAAACTTATTTAAATAACTTTTATAAGAAAAGACGTATTTTTTAAAAAAAAAATATATAACTTCCGTTTTTTTTAAAGCCCACCATTTTAAGCCCAATTCAATATTTTTAATACTCTAAACCATCCATATAAATTAGAAAATAAACCCTAAAATCATAAACTATTATTAGCCGTCATCAAAAATTCCCTCATCCCCACAAATCTGTGAGCACGAGCAACCTCCATCTTCGTCCGACCAGGAGCCGCGACCACCTCCACCACCGGCAACAACATCTATTTTCCGATCACGGTTACAACCAAAGTGAAAACGACGACCACCACCCCCTCTCCTCTAGCCCATTTCTTTCTTGATCTCTCCACCAACGAATCTGTCTCATCTCTTTCTCCTTACATTTCCGACAACACCCAAACATCCCACTCATCTCCTTCACCCGTATTTGTCCCTCCCTCATCTCTTTCTCCTTCAAAAACTTCGACATTTGGACCACCACCTATCGATTTCTCTCCCTCTCTCCCTCTTTCTCTCCCTCTCCCTCTCTCTCTCTCTCTCTTATTTTCTATTATGACCGGATGTTGTAGAAACACCACCGGTGGTCGGACCGGAGGTGGTTACGGCGGTGTTCAGTGGAGGTGTTAGGTTGCGTTGGATAATAAGAGTGGGCAGAAAATATATTTACAAGCATTTTCATTTTACCTTAAGTTTAAAAACAGAAGCTATTGTTTGTTTACATTAAAAATGTATGTTTTGATTTTATATTAGATATGTGTTATAGTTGGATTAGTTGACAATTAATTGGCTATTAAGAGGATACATATTTCAATGTTTGAAATTTGTAGATAATTGTAAAGATCAAAATTGTATTTGTAAATATCGATATTGAATTTGTTATAAAATTAAATAAGATGGTTAGGTTATTTATTCGTTCAATGATTTCTTTTACAGAAAAAGAAAAGGCTGAAAAATATTAAATTTGCAGAGTCAAACAGTTTAATTTCCTAGGTATTGAAAAAAACATCATTTTGACTAAAAAATATCATAATTACAGGGTCCTATAAAGAAATATGAGGTCCAAAGAAACGACAATTTGTAGAAAAAGGAAACTAGACCTAGGTTGCTAGAGTGCTAGGGGTTTGTCTAATTTATGAAGAAGAATGGATATCACTAATATAACAATTACAAGTAATTATACTATCAATATGTATTTTCTATTTACATATAAATTACTATATTTTGCTACCTTTTCATTTTGACCATTCGAATCATTTATTGTAGCCAATAGCCATTTTGCCTATATCCGGTTTTAATGCTGTCATTTCGTCTCATTTAGTTATATGGCATCTTATGTGGCAATGTGGAGTACACTTGACTATTT